AGATAGATAGATAGATAGATAGATAGATAGATAGATAGATAGATAGAGAGAGATGGATGAGGGGGGGGGAGAGATAGATGATAGATAGATACCTAGATATAGATATATAGACAGAATATATAGATGGAATATGGTAATAGAATATGAAGAGACAGGCAGGCAGACAGATGATAGATAGATGGTGGCACGGTGATTGGAATGCAGTACTGCAGGATAATTCTGCTGACAAACCAGTGGTTTGATTTTCATCAACTTAAGTGAGGACCCCGATTGTTGAGGGCAAGAGGCTGACTCTGTAAACTGCTTAGAGAGGGCTGTAAAGCACTGTGAAGCGGTATATAAGTCTAAGTGCTATTGCAATGATAGGTAGGTAGGTAGGTAGGTAGGTAGGTAGGTAGATAGATAGATAGATAGATAGATAGATAGATAGATAGATAGATAGAGGGGGTGGGTGAGTGAGTGAGTGAGTGAGCGAGCGAGCTATGGTGGCACAATGGTTAGAATGCAGTATTGCAGGATAATTCTGTTGACTACCAGTGGTTTGATTTTGACCGGCTTAAGGTTGACTCATCCCGTCGAAGTGAGTCAAATGGAAACACAGATTGTTGGGGACAATATGCTGACTTTTTAAAGCACTTAGAGAGGGCTGTAACACATTGTGAAGCAGTATATAAGTCTGACTGCTACTGCTATTGCTATGCAGTGTGTGGGATTAGTGGAAAGAAAGTATACTCAAACGAAAAAAAACCCTTGAGGCTCAACCCAAACCTGTGAAGCAAACCAGTTATGTTCTTACAGGGGTGGTTTAATTATCATTGCCCATAGGTTTTGCTCCCAGGGTTGGGAGTTCAAATCCCATTCCAATATCAAAGGCACACAGCAGACGACAGCATTAATAAAACAGAGAAGGACATAATTCACGGCTCCTAGAAATAGACTCCGATTTCTTGAGATCAAAGGAAGAAAGAGCGGGGGATTTATCCCCAAGCAGTTAGTAACTAGGCATAGGAGAAAAGCCTTGGATTAGATTAACCGATGTCAAGTTTGAGATGGGTGAAATTCATCCCTGTTCACCTTACAGGTAAAAAGGTATTGATTTTAAATGGAGGCTACAGAGGGAATGAAGCCACGTTACTGGGCATCAACGAGAAGTCATTTTCCGCCACGGTCCTCGTAGAATCGGTAAGTATCTTTTAATAGTTGTATAACAGACAGCCACATCCTTTCCTTGTTTAAAGATCCTTAACAAGAAATTTAGAAAATAGATTCATTCAACGAATTACGGTTTTTGGGTTAAATTTGAGGCACAAACTCAAATAAGCAAACCTTCACAATAATAAGTGAACTAATTGTCTCCTGCAGGCACCCTCTCCTTTTGCTCCTCTTTATTCCCTATGGGAGGAGCCATTCAGCGTCCACTTGTGCCTTTTCTTCCGAGTCGACCCCTGTTCCTTAGTTGTTCCCTTCTCCTGACAGCTCTGTGCATCTGGAACAGACTCCAGCTGTTCTTCTTCCCCACGTATCTCCAACTCCAAAGGCAGCTGATAAACATCAGACAGCCCTGTCCCCGTCTCTGCCTCCGATGAAGAGCACCCATCAGTGCCTTCCCCAAACTCCAGGACTGGCCCACGTTCCTCCCCAACCTCCTCCCTATTCAAGTCTGCCGCCAGCTCCTCTGCCAGCTGGTGGGCCCCTACCGCCATAAGGGAACTAACCACCTTGAGGCTGTTGACCTGTATCTAACTCTAACCTGATGTCAACTCCGAAGTGAATCTGGCTGAAGCCGTCTTGTGCTGCCTCATAGTTGCCACGAAGCCTGAGAGAGGGAAGGGAGGGGGGGAGTAGATAGTCCAACTCACCACCAAACCAAAAAGTTTTCCTGTGGGAACCAAGGTCATTGTAACAGGTGGCTGTTGAAGGACGAGAGGAGTGACCAAGCAGCCTGTCAGCCGTATTCATTGGACAATGTGACCGGTGACATCTGGGAGGGGGTGATTTTCACTCTTTTAATTAGGTGAAAACCCGCGGGAACTTTTAAGAGTTGTTTTTCACCGGCTATGCCGATATGATGTATCCAATAAAAATGTTCTTTGAGGGTTAGGGTTAGGGTTAGGGTTAGGGTTCCTATTGGGCCTTGAGTTGTGATGACCACTGGTTTATTTTCTTGGCGCCCAAAAACTTGGAACTTCCTTAAAACTTCCTTTTCTTTAACTTCCCTCTGCAGGGAGCTCTGAAAGGACATCAGGTGGATGGTATCCCATACGAAGACATTTCCAAGTTGGCCTCCATTGACTAAAAGAGCTGATGGGATCCCTGAGGAACATCTCCAGAGGTGGCTGCAGATGAACAACTCACGTAGACGCTCAACTCAAGAACTGTCAACTTCAAGGAGCGAACGAGATCGCTGAAGGATGCCCTATAAATACAATACATTGGATCCTCTATTGATAATCCCTTTCTAGATCCACCACGGGCAATCTCGTAATAGATTTCTCCTCGTTTATTGTTGGGAACGTTGATTAGATTGGTTCAACTGTAGCAAAGCATCAGCCATCTACAGCCCTGTGGTCCGTAGAACGTTTTTGTAACGTACATTTCTGGCACAAATTGGAACCATCTGCAGTTGGAGGTATCTTCTACCTGTAGAGCCACATTACAACATGGTGTTGCAACTTCTGGGGTGCAGCCGAAGAGTTTAGCTTTCTCACATGCTGACACGAAAATAGTCTTTTGTTCCGTTGGGATGGGATTAACCAGCAACAGGATGTCTCTTATCCGCACCCCACGAATAAGCATAACCTGCCAACGTCACCCGCCAGTTTTTTAACTGGCCAATTTTTTACACAATCATCAAGACTTACAAAGACCCTTGATGGTCGTGTGCCAATCTTGTGAAAAAAGTAGGCCAGTTCTAAGTCATGGCTTCTGACGGAATCAGAGAATCTTCGAAGAGCTCCAGTTGTTCCTTTATTTATTTATTTATTTCGGTCCTTCCTTGTACCGTAGAAGTGGCTACCAAGCATCCTGGTAGGAAGTTTTATCAGATTTGAGGAAAAAAATTCTTCTGAGCAGCCCCACGGTTAGGTGGACCTTCTGAATTCGACTACATCACAGGGTCCATTTTTGCATCGCAACGTTTAGCAATGTTGAAATATTTTAAGAGAATTGGTAACGATAGCTCTCTGCTTGGAAAACCAGATTTTTTTCAATCTGGGCTTTCACTATTCCATTACGCGGCTCTTCGGACCAGTAGAAACATCCATTAATTTTTTTAAATTGTATAATGATTTTGTACAGAAGAGAGAAGATGGAGTTATTTTATTGATGCGGTGTTTCTTTTGAACCATCGTGCGCATCCCAAAGTAAATGGACTTCGATGCCCTTAAATTGGCTCATGGCTTTATTTCAGAAGGCAGATTTGGGCTTCTGAACTCCGACGTTTAACTTGTATTCCTTTGAAGTTGCGGGTTTACAGAGATGCTTTTCAAATTAAATTCAGGCGCGCGGAATCTTCGGTTCACACCGAGATGTGGTGTGATGATCAGATGCTTGTCCACCAGTCCATACCTTGCCTAAAGTTCTACGTTTGAGCAAATTGGAGCTGATGTACCATATTTTTCGGAGTATTAAAACGCTCCAAAGTATAAGACACACCTAGCTTTGGGGGAGGAAAACAAGGGGGGAAAAAAAATCTGCCTTTGCCTCCTTGAAGCAAAGAGCAAACAGCCTTGTCAGCTTCAGCGCACCCTGATTAGCACATGCAGCCATTCCGATCCCCGCCGCCCAGAACAGGCTGAAAATGGGATGTGGAGGGCAAAAAATGGAGGCGGCAATAGGCGACGGCAATCCCTGCAGCCTGAAAACAGCTGATCGTCGGCAGGTCGATCCAACCGACGATCAGCTGCTTGTGCTCATCAGGCTGTGCTGAAGCTGAAACAGGCTGTTTGCTCTTTGCCGCAAGGAGGCAAATGGCTGGGAGGCAGAGGCTGAAGACATTTCCACCCACTTTGGGGGGGGGAGGGTACGTCTTATACACGGAAAAATACGGTATATATTATTTGACGGTACAATAGTCAGCCCTCATTTATCGTCATCCCAGCTGTCTTTAACTATCAGAGTTACACGTCGGCAAGTAATGCACCCATACAAAGCAAAACTCCGAGGCAGGCAGATTCCTCAAAGAACAGTTTATTGGCACAACTGGTGAAAACCGACTGAAAGTTCCCACGGCTTTCACCTAATTAAAAATAAAAAGTTTCCCCCCCCCCCCCCCCAAGTCACTGGTCACACTGTCCAATCCAGGAGTTGGCCGGTTGCTTGGTTACCTCGCTCCTCCTCTGGCCAGCCCCCTGCGAGAATGTCCATGGTTCCCACAGGAAGGCTTTATTGTTTGGGCTACAAAATCCCATCTAATTATTTCCCACCCACCCACCCACCCCTTCCCTCTGTGGTGTGGCAGCCCTGAAACCTCCAAAATTGCCTCAGCCATGTTCACTTCAGGGTTGACATGACAAACTTAGCAGATGGGTTCAGACAGGTGCTAAGCTTTGTTTCAACTTTAACTACCATGTTTTTCGGAGTATAAGACGCACCAGACTATAAGATGTACTTTGCTTTAGAGGAGGAAAATAAGAAAAAAAAATATTTTGCCTCTTGTGTGTCCTGTTTTTGCCCTCCCCGGCACCGGCACTCTGCAGGCCAAAAACGGGCGCATTTTTGGCCTCCATTTTGGGCCCCCAGACAGCAGGGAGGGCAAAAACAGGATGCATGGAGGCTTTGGGACGCTAAAAACAGGCCTGTATTCGCCGTATAAGATGCACAGACTTTCCCCCCCCTTTTTTGGGGGGGGGGGGGGGGGGGTAGGGAGAGAAGTGTGTCTTATATTCCAAAAAATATGGTAATTTTCTTATCCATCATAGGATGCCAACGCAGGGTGGATTGGTTAATTTCCTTGTATTGCTGAAACTCGGAAATTGGTTTCAATTCAACCAGGTTAAGGGAGTTGTGTGAATGCAGCCGCCCCTTTGCTGATAGGCAGTGCAGTGTTTGGGGGAATCTATAAAGGTAAAGGTTCCCCTCGCACATACGTACTAGTCGTTTCTGGCTCTAGGGGGCGGTGCTCATCTCTGTTACAAAGCCGAAGAGCCAGCACTGTCCGAAGACGTCTCCGTGGTCATGTGGCCAGCAGGACTAAACGCCAGAAGGCACGCAGAGCACTGTTCCCACCAAAGTGGTCCCTATTTTTCTACTTGCATTTTTACATGCTTTCGAATTGCTAGATTGGCAGAAGCTGGGACAAGGAACGGGAGCTCACTCCATTACGCGGCGCTAGGGATTCGAACCGCCGACCTTTCTGATCGACAAGCTCAGCGTCTCAGCCGCTGAGCTACCGAACATTGTAACTCAATCTACAGGAAGCAGAGAAAATAAATGAGGGCTCCATATTGTACTATGGCTAGAGGTTTGTCAGGGAAGGGAGAGTAGAATTCCTTTGTCCTCGGAGGAAAAGAATGGGACCTGTAGTATTTAAACAAGTGCAGGGAGTCCTTGACAAACAACCATGCCTGATCCAGAATTATAGTCATAAGTCATTGTCCTTAAGTGAGTGAGCATATGACCATGCACAGTTTTATAAGTCTTTCTTGTGGCAGCCATTACGTGAATGCTGCATTTGTTAAGCAAATCCCTTTTATCCAATCAAATTAGTTTTTTTTTTTAACAGGCAACTAGAAGTAAGTTATTTCTAAACTCTGGAAACCAGCAAAGAAAAGTCCAAAATTGCAGTCGTTTGAGAGGCTGCAAACTGGCTTACGTGTCTTTTGAGGGGTCCGTTATAACTTCGGACAATTTTCGAGTGACCCGTCGTAAATCGAGGACGATCTGTATTCTCTTAAGGACACATTTAAGCGACAGCTAAATCTGTAATTTAAATTCGACCGCTAGATGGCAGGGTTTTTCTGCCTCGATTCCACTGGTGTTTCTTTAAGGCAGGGGCATCCAATCTTGGCCACTTTTAAGACCTGTAGACTTCAACTCCCAGAATTCCCCAGGCATTAAAAAAGTTTTCAAGTTTAGTGACTCCTGGTTCAAGCCCTTGTTTGAAAACTTCTCAGGCACATTAGATAAGTTGAACATGATACAATACTCATGGGGGGAGTTTACTACTTTAATTCTGTTCGGATACACGGTCTTTATACAGTCGGGGAAAAACAATATTAAAAAAAAATAAAATTCTACGTTACTCCAGCACTCTTTGCTGGTCACGTTTGCTGTCAAATGCAACTTTGCCCGAAAGTGGAATTTTTGGTTTGCATACTACACTAGAAGTCCCAGTGACACCACGTCCAAATAAGGTGGGTTTAGGTTGGGGGGTTAATTTTAGGGGAGAGGGGAATGTGCGCAATGTTAGGCTGGAGCAGGCCGCAATGAAGCTCTTCCCAAAGGCTGCTGCCCATGTGAATTTGCTTACAGGGTGAGTTGCATGGCCATTCGGGCAGTTTCCTTGCCCTGCCGTAAAGGTGAGCCTTCAGAAGTGCTTCAGGTAGCTGTATAAATTAGGGACAAGATAATCCGTGTAGTGGCCATCAAGGAACCCTTTGCCGTTGTTGTGTACAAACCAGCACTGGACGTTGGTCCCAAACACACGGTCCAAGCGATAATCCTTTTGCAGGCCTCTGCGGGCAAATGCAAATAAAGCATAAATCATCATCATGTCATTTTAGGCTTGACGTAAAACCAGTAGTGAGATTCAGTTTTTTTTTTACTACTGGTTCTGTGGGCGTGGCTTGGTGGGCATGGCAGAGAGAAATTACTATAAACTCTCCATTCCCACCCGACTCCTGGGGGAAGGATACTGCAAAATCCCCATTCCCTCCCCCACCCCACTAACCTGCTTTCCAGCTCCGTTCTCCTGTGCAGGGCAACCAAAGAAGACCCAGCCGATCAGCTGGTACTCAATGGGAGGCGGAGAAGAGATGGGGGCGGGGCCAGTCAGAGGCGGGATTGGCCGGTTCTCTGAACTACTCAAAATTTTCCGCTACCGGTTCTCCAGAACTGGTCAGAACCCGCTGAAGACCACCTCTGACCTAAACCAGCGCTTGTCAACCTTGGCAATTTTGACCCATATGGACTTCAACTTCCAGAAAACTTACCAAGGTTGAGTAAGGCTTCTGCAAAGTCACCGGGGAAGGGTTGATGTTAGGCCTAACAACCTATTAGCAATTGATTTTTCATTCTTTTCCCCAAGTATAGCTGACCTAGAGGTCGCCATGGACCCATCTGCTGCCCATTGGCATTGTTTTTGAAGTATCTTGCAAGCGAGCCAGATTGGTCTAGTGGTTAAGGCACCAGACTAGAAACCGGGAGACCGGGAGTTCTAATCCAGCCTTAGGCGTGAAAGGCGGCTTTGGATGACTTTGGGCCAATCACCAGGAGATGCTGAGTCTTAGGCATAAAAGCCAGCTCTGTAATTTCTAGTCCTGAGTTCTAGTTAGGCATGAAAGCTGGCTGGGTGACTTTGAGCCAATCACCAGGAGACTGTGAGTTCTAGTCCTGTTTTAGACATGAAAGCTAGCTGGATGACATGGGGCCAGTCACGAGAGAGAGAGAGACAGACAGACAGACAGAAAAAATAAATAATAAAATCAACCATGATTTCAAGGTCTGTCCATATTCTGCTAAACACTCTTCAACAACTTTCTCTGGGAGTTCAGTTTCCTAACACACACACACACACACACACAAAAACACACAAACGGCAACCTTAGAAAGCCTGTTTTTTATTGCCTACCGGGTAACGGTCAGCTTGTGGCCTTTCACTTCCATGGTAGCATCAGATTTTCCTGGATCTTGTCCTGGTCTTTCATTGTAGATGATCACGTCCTGTTCCTGCATAAACTGACCTGGGGAAGAATTTTGTTAAGTGTCGGTGAAAGGGGAACGTTTAGCTGAGATTTTGCCAACATGTTCAACTTGGAGGCATCCCGAAGAGTCTGTTAGAAGAATCAAGCTACGCTGGACACCAAACTCTGAAGCCCTGCTACTTAATCCTCGACTTACAACAGTTCATTCAGTGACCGTTCAAAGTTATGACGGCACTGAAAAAAAAGGGACTTGTGACCATTTTTCACAACCTTTGTAGCATTCCCCATGATCATGGGATCAGATGCTTGGCCGCTGGTTCATACTTATGACCGTTTCATATGTCCCAAGGTCGCGGAATCCCTTTTTGCAACTTTCTGACAAGTCAGTGGGGAAGCCAGATTCACTTAACAACCATGTCACTAACTTATCAACTGCAGCGATTCACTTAACAACCAAGGCAAGAAAGGTGAGGCAAAAACTCACCTAATAGCTGTCTCGCTTAGCAACAGAAATGCTCAATTGCGGTCATAAGTTGAGGACTGCCTGCATAGCTTTGAATGATCACGAATAAACGAATGGCTGTAATTTAGAGGTCTATCTATAAATAAATATAATAAATAACAATATACAAATGCTGCATCCCTCTCTGATGCTGTTCTGCACAATAATAACAAAATAAACACATTCCTTTATCTCCATCGTCCCTGTTTTAAGAGATGCTTTCCAGTTTTCTCAGGTCCTCCTTGCTGTCATGCAGCCCTAATGTTGTGGCCCACCAGTGGCCAGCAGAGCTGGCGGCAGACTCGGACAGTGAGGAGGTTGGGGAGGAACCTGGGCCAGTCCTGGAGTCTGGGGAAGGCTCTGACGAGGGCTCGGCATCCGAGGCAGAGATGGGGCCAGGGCCGTCCGACAGTTATCAGCTGCCTTCGGAGTTGAAGATCAGTGGGGAAGAAGATCAGCTGGAGCCTGTTCCCTGTGCGCGTATGCGCAGAGCTGCCAGGAGAAGGGAACAGTTAAGGAACAAGGGTCAACTCAGGAGTAAAGGCTCAGGTGGACGGTGAATGGCCCCTCCCATAGGAAATAAAGAGGAGCGAAAGGGGAGTGGGGTTTGCAGGAGGCAATTAGTTCAATTCATTAGGGTGAAGATCTGTTCCTGACTTCTTGCCAAGTATTGTCTGCTACAGAGTGGCGTTTGGAAGCTATCGGCCTGGCAGCTCTCCAAGCCTGATAAAGGTCTGTAGTTGTGAAATCTCTTGAAAGACTGTTTGCCGGGACTTTGCTGGAGAGGAATTCACTTTAAACTAAATAAAAGGGGTTTTATTGGGACGAGGAGTCGGCTTCGTGCTTTTGGGAAAGCCTAGGTCAGAACACCTAAGTACCCAGAGTTATGGAACCATCTCCTCCTCCCAGCCTTTACCAATGAGGCCATGCACAGTGGAGGAGAAATTATTTGCCGGAGGGATGTAGATGCCCAGGAAATCCACATTCACGGGGTGCTTCTTCCAAACCCGATGGAGAAGGACCATAAATGTCAGGTCCCCGTCTACGGTGAGAGTCACGTTGCTCTCTTTCTTGACCGAGACCAGCAACCTGGGAGAAGAAAAAACAATGGAAGAAGAAGGCCCTGCTTCAAATCGGTCTGCCTTCCTTAGAAGGCTTGCATATTTGCACAGGTCAAAACCGGATGCCATAGTTTTTACCTCCTCCGAATGAGACTTCCTGTCTCTGACCAGGAAAGAGACGTGGTAGAAGAGCCATCCTTCAAGGTGATCGCCTCGGGACTGACTTCAACCTTCAGGCCTTTCGCTTCAAAATGAAACCCAACCTTGCCAAAGTAAGTGTTGAGTTTGTTATGCAAGAACCTCTTGGCTCCGATGAGTTCCCCGTTAATTGTGATTCCTGGGAGGAGGAGGAAGAGAAAGAGGAGGGCGGTGGAAAGAATAAGAAAATAAGGAAGGGAAGGTAGGAAGGAGAAGGAGGAAAAGGAGAAGAAAGAAGAAGAGGAG